TTTTCGCTTGTTTTAAACATAGTGAGATAAATTATATTCTTAAGTAAGTGAATAGTTGAAGTTCAATATTTAAAAGATGGAATTTAAATCAATTTTATTTTTAATGATCAGTGGAATATTCAATGTTTATAGTGTCTTTATAATCAATATTCAAATTATGTTCGATTTAATCTTATCATTATTCAACGAGAGAAAAAATCATTGAAAATGATATTCTTCTTTTTTTTTCTAAATGCTGAACGGTTTGAAAATTCAAAATAGTTTGTATCGGACATTATATTTATTTCAGGAAAAAAAAAATTTAATAATGAAAATGTTGTTTCTTTTGAATTATTGAATTAATTAGATGTTTTTTTCCTTATAATATAATAAATCAAGTAAATTGTTTAATTGAATTTGAACATTTTTAAGTATATCTTGTTTAATATTATCTTTATGATATTGTTGCCAAATGCCTAATGGTAATTGAATAACAATTGTTTGGTTTATCTTAGCTTTAATGATCATATGAAGTTCATTATTGTTATTGATTGTTACATTCCATTTTATTTCAAAAGAAATTTTAAATTGTTCTTTTTGAAAATGAAGTATATCGTAATTTTCAATATGTCGATTGTTTCCTGACCATTGACTTTGTTTATTATTTGGTGACCAATGAAGATTTTCAGAATGTTTTTCAAATTCTTGTTTAAGCCAATCAATTAAGAATACTAATTGAGGAAAAGAATCATTCTTTGGAGTACATATTAATAATTCTGTTTGTTTGTTTATTGATGATGTCAAATAGGATTTGTCTTCTTCATTATTTTTCTTTATCAATTGAAGCATAAATTGAAGTTGATATTCAAGTTCTTCAATATTCCATTGTTGTTTAGGATCTGAAAATCCACAATCAAATATTAAATTAAGATGTCTTTCTAATGGAGTACATTTTTCTGTTCCTGTCCATATTCCTTAATGAGAGCAAAAAGAAAAAAAAACATAATTTATTTAACAAAAAAATAATTATTCTTAAATAAACCTGTTGCTTTTTTCAATTCTTCTTCAATAATTTTAATATTATCTTTTAGTTTATGCGGTTGTTTTCCATTAATATCTTTTGGTGTTCCTGGATAAGATTTTGTAATTAACCAGAAAAGAATAGCACATATATGACTTATATCAAAGGTTCGAAGATAAGATAAATTATTTTGTTCGTTTTTATCGATATTATCTCTTTCGATTTGAGAAATACGATAGAATATCTGATTTGGTTGAACATTTTTACAATTAATAAAATCATTTAAATGTTGTTTATGTTCATTAGCTTTTTGATCGCAATAAGCTATATCAAAATCAATTAATATTAAATCTACATTATCAAATGAATATTCTCTTTGATTATTTTCTTTAATTGATGAAATCTTAATGATAATATTATGAGGATTAATGTTATAATGAACAACATTTCGACAATGGATTTCTTTTACTATATTAAGAAGTTTCAAAGTAATTATTAATGCACTTTGAAAATCTACTCTCGTTGTTTTGGTAAAATCATATAGTGTAATACCTATGATATTTTCCATTATAATCCAAGGATCATTTGATTTATTATTTATATTACTTTTGACAAATTTTGGTACTCCATTAATACCTAAGAATATAAACAATTATTGAATAATAAATAAAGAAATCTATATAATATTTACTTTTAATCTTATCTAAGATGATTTCTAGATGTTGTAAACATTGTTGATTTAATAATTTATTATTGTTATTCTTATAGATTTTGATAACTTGTTTAATATTGGAATTTTTTTTATTAACAAGAGAATATATTGTACCTGTACCGGTTGGATCATCTGAGAGAATTTCATTCGTCCAATTCCATTGAGAGATAACTTCACTCAGATCAATTGGAATTTTAATATAATCTGTTAATTAGATTCAATAATAGAATCAACAAAAAAAAAGAAAATTCTTCTTTTATCTTACTTTTTACTAAATTTTTCTTTTTCGAATCTTTATTATTATCATTATTTGATTGTTCAATTTGGAATTCTTTTTCTCGTTGATACCAAGGTGCATATGTTGATTGATTATTATCATTTATCATTCGAATTGATGATGATGATGAACTTTGATTTTTATCCTCCCAATCATGAAAATCGACGTTGATCTCTAATTGACATTTTATTTTATTGGATATAGATTCAGAATATGAACTATTATGCCATTCTCGAATTTTATTTCGAATATAATATTCTGATCGTTGACAGATAAAATATGCAACCATTGATGATGATGCATTTTGATTTTCATCTTTAGATAAAATAAGATGTGAAAATTGTTTTTCTGATATATTTAATCGTTTTTGTAATTCTTCTTTACTTGTATTTAATGGAAGATTACTAATTCTTACACGATAAAGGTCTTTTTCACAATCTATAAAAAAAAACTTAGATTATATCACAATATTATCTAACAATAAAACTTACATTCTATGTTTTGTTTATTCGATATAATTTGTCTTTTTTTACTATGACCATAATGACATTGATTATTATCGCATGTATTCGGTTGATTACAAATAATATGTTTATAATTACATGTTTGTGAAGAAAATTCACATTTTCCTAGTTCAAAATTTCTACATAATTCAAACTGATAGATTGGTTTATTGATAACATTACAATGAATTTGAAATCCACGTAAATTTGTTTGAGATTTTTTTATGGCTAAATATCGTATATTTTGTTCTTTATCGATATTTTTAATCCATGCTTGACTATTTAATTGATCATCTTTTACTAGATATTCATTAAGTGAATATTCTGGTTGTAAAATAATATCGGCAACATGAACATCAAATAATAACGATAATTCTTCACTTGTTATATCACTTGGCATATTAGTTACATGAATACAATACGGACATTGATCAATATCATCCTTATTAACTAGAATATAAATATTTTTCTATGATTATTTATAATTGAATTTGTTAAACATACCATTTTCAATAGATCGAGTTTTTTCAATCTGAATATTTATTCCATTGATTGTATGTGATATATTACTTAGAATAATTTGATCAACAATATCATAACTAAAAAAAAAACAACAAAATCATCGAATATGCTAAGAAATAAATATTACTTTTCGAATTGAAGAATTATTTCATTATCATTTTCTTTTTGATAAGAAATTATTTTACCAAATTTTCGAAAATATTCATTTAAATCATATTCAGTAAGTTTTTTTCTAAAACCATTTTCATCTTCTATTTTAGATATTTTAATTAATAAATAACAAGTCATTTGACCAGATAATGGAATTTCTTTTGGATTATGTCGTGATATTTGATGTTCTTGATTATTATATTTAATGATTGGATTCTTCATTAATTCATTAACTCTTTTTTCTTCTTTAAAATTTAGAAAAACTTTTTTTCGTTTTTGACCATTTAGTTCTGAACAAAAAAAAAACCCATTTATTTTTTTGTTTTTGGGTTAAAATTTTTTTTTTGGTACTTACGATAAGGTTTACCGAATTTGATTTCGGGCAGTGGTATTCCTATTTTATTCTTAATTATTTTCTCAATATCTTTCTCTTGAATTTCCATATTTATATTATGTATAATAAGAGAAAGACGACTTCTTTCAATTTCTTTTCTATTTAATTTTGTTTCGATCTAATGTACATAGAACATTCAAGAAATTTCTTTTTTCATCATCTTGTATATTTAACTTACTAGAGACATTAGTTTAAATTGATGAAGAATATCTGAAATTAATATTGTAAATATAATTATTTAATATAGATATATGAAATAAACTATTAAATTTATATTCCTTTTCATCTGTGTAAAAAAAAACAATGGCGAAGAATTCAAATTTGTTTTTTTTTCCAACAAACTTCGATCGACAATTGTAAATCGTAATATATCAAACTTTGAGTTTTGTTGACATCCAACTTTTTTTAATCAACGAGGAAGGTGTATTTGATATTTACTTAGACCTCCTCCCATATTAGAAGCCCCTCCGGGGGTTCTATTTGGCCTTGCAAACATTGGCCAGATGTTACTGGGAAAAAACTGAAAGTTTTGCTGGAGAGACCCTTTAAACGAGGCTTCTATTACGCGAGGAGAGGTTTATCAAATTTCTTTCCAAACTCCGTTTGATAATCGAAAAACTAAATGATTATATATTGAACCTATATATCCAATTGGTATAACTATGAAATATTTCAAAAGAGAAAATGTAACAAAAGTTTGATCAACTTAAGTGCATTTTGTATATGGATTTACTCTTGAGAAAAAAAAGAATTCAGTTTCAAATTAAAAATGAATATTTTATTTGAATTTCAATTTCAAATATTTGAAGAAATAAGATTTAAATTAGGAAATATTCGTTTAGAATTTAACTCAACTTTGATAAAATCTATTAAATCTATTGTTCAGATAAAAATCTTAATCATAGTCTTACCGTGAACAAAATATAAGTTGATAAACTTGGATAATTATATGGCAGAAAATTTCAGTTGTAATTGAGTTTGATATGAAAATTCTTGACAGAATTGTAGACGTTCGAGTTTCAATAAATTGAATTAACTTGGTTAAAATTCTTTTAATGCTTAATAAATTTGATATCAGTGCAACATTTCTGTCAACCTTTTATATTCCATTGACTGGGAAAAAGTTCATTGGAAATTACCAAGTATGAAACAAAAGAAAACATCGTTAGCTTTGCTCTTTCTTTATTACTATGGCATTCGTGACTCATTCTTTTACAGAATCTTGTTTTTCAAACCAATAAAATACGATTTGATGAAGAAAAAAAATACTTTTTTTTATTTGATACAACCAGTAAGACCTATAAAAACCCAATAAATTTTTTTTTTATTAAACTAGTTGAATCATAAAGTTTCAATGTGATCTGCAAATTAGGTATGTGCAAGAAAATCACTTCGATGATATGCTTATGAGTTTTGAACTTTGTCAACATATAATAAAACAGAACTTTTTTTTTTGTTTCTGACAAACACATG